CCTGGCCTGGCTCATCTATTCCATCGCCTTCACGCCCAAGGTGGTGCTCATCCTGGGCACGTCCATTCTGGACCTCATCGAGCTACGCGCTCCCTTCGGCACCATGGGCTTCCGCCTCACCATGGCGCTGTCCGTGCCCCTGCTCTACAGCCTGGTGCGGGCCATCAGCGAGGCGGGCGCCCCCCCTGGCTCGGCGGGACCCCTGCTCCTGCAGCCCCAGCAGCACCGCGCCGCCGGCTGCTTCCTGGGCACGTGTCTGGACCTGCTAGACAGCTTCACCCTGGTGGAGCTGATGCTGGAGGGCCGCGTGCCGCTACCCGCGCACCTGCGCTACCTGCTCATCGCCGTGTACTTCCTCACCCTCGCGTCGCCCGTGCTCTGGCTCTACGAGCTCAACGCCGCCGCGGCAACTTCGTCTTGGGGCCAGGCCTCGCGTCCCGGCAGCTGCAGCCGCCTTCTGCGCCTGCTGGGCGGCTGCCTGGTGGACGTACCCTTGCTGGCGCTGCGCTGCCTCCTGGTGGTGAGCTACCAGCAGCCCCTCTCCATCTTCATGCTCAAGAACGTCTTCTTCCTTGGCTGCCGCGGCCTGGAGGCCCTGGAGGGCTGTTGGGACCGAGGGAGTAGGGCCTCCCCCCGTCGGGCCAGAGGAGGCTACGGCGCTCCGCCCTCTGCCCCACCGCCGCCGCCGCCACCTCAGGGAGGCTCGCAGTTGGGCCACTGCATCTCGGAGAATGAGGGAGGGGCCCATGGCTATGTCAACACCCTGGCTGTGGCCTCCCAGAATTGAGGGAGATAAGGGCTTGAGGGGCTGGATCTTGGGTTGAGAGACCCAGATCCCTTGTCCTCAGACCTTCCCTCACCCAGATATGATCAGGCTGTGTTTGGAAGAGGTAACTGCTAATAGGGCTAAGGGCCGGTGTGTCCTTCTGCACCCCTTGAGTCAAGACTGCTTGGAGGGAGACCAAGTAGCTAATGGTGAGGGAGGAAAGTCCACTTACCCTAGTCTCCCTTCTCCATGCCCTATCCTAATCCTAGCCTCCAAAGGGCTGGACACCTCTGCTTCTTGTTATTCCCACCTCCACGCTAATTCCTATCCATTGTGGGTGAGAATGGAGGAAAGGGGGTGCCCAGACAGGGGGCTCTGGGCCTTGGGCCTTCCCCCTTCCTTGGAAGTGCCAGCTTCTTTTAGGCTGTGGTGAGTGGCCATTGTCCCATGCCTTGAAATTGACCCAGAATCCACTGTTCCCATGACCTATTGGATTTCTTCCAGATGGTAGATGCAAAGTCTGTGTGTGTGTGTGTGTGTGTGTGTGTGTGTGTGGTTTTCTGTGTCCACCCTGTGGCCCCTTGCAATCAGTAGGAGATCTGGGGAGGCCCTGCCCTCCCCACCACACATACTACCACGCTCCTCTTTCCTACCTGAATTTGTGGCCATGAATTCCCAGAAAGAGCTGGGTGCCTGGGAGCTGCCCAGTTGCTCTCCTCCAAGGGAGAAGCTCACCAAGGATCTTCCTCAATCCTACTCCTCTCTTCTCAGCTTGTGGGGAGGAGAGGGTCCATACTCTAAGGACCAAACTGCACCCTTTCTTGGGTGAGTGAGCAATTCTACCTCCGTGCTTTCAACTTTTGTTGCATCATTCACTGATGCTGCTTGCAAAAAATAAAGACAAAATACTCCGAAGTTGCATTCAACTTGGCTGCTAGATCCAGCTGGGGTTTGGTGCCAGTGTTATTACAGGGTCTGTGGAGTATCAGCCATTGGCTTTCCCTCCCTTTGTCCCTCCCTCTGCACCCAGAACTCTTATCTTTCCTGAAGGTTGTTTCTGGCTGGGTCAGATCTTGGCTCAGAACAACAGCTTTGGTGGGGATCCCGGATAGATGTGAAGGTGAGCCTCCCATGGGCCCAAGAGAGTAGGAAACCCAATTCCCCATCTGTCCTTTCTCTCAGAAGCTTGGTGTAGATCAGAAAGGGTGGTGGTGACCTTTCTTCTCTGCTCCGGTTAAGAGAATCTCTAGGGAAAGGCAGGCTGCATGGAGTAGGGTGGGCAAACCCTCCTCCCCCCACTCTCCCCAGCCTTCCTCCCTGGTATTCCTCTTGTTGAGTTTGATGACAAGGGACATCCAGGTGTTGCCCACTTATAGTCTTGATGTGGGACATCAGTCTTGGAGTCTTTGAGGCAGGATAAGTATTTTTAGGGGAGGTAAGAGTGCAGGAGGACAGTTGGCAGCAAGGCCGGAAAATACTCACTTTCCTCTACCTTGTCATAGGATGGGGTGGAGTGAAATTGTAAGAAGTTTTGTTTTCCTTCTCTATTCTCATGCTTGGGAAGTTGTGCGTGGTGTGATAAACTAGGACAAAGGACCAGATATCATGGACACTGTCACTCACTAGCTTTGAGTCACACATCACTTTTGCTTTCTGGGCCACAGTTTTTCACTTGGCGCCCTTCTCTCCCAACTTCTTTGGGCACTTGTTGACAGAAGACATCCATGTAGACAGAGACACAAGAGGGGCTGATGGCTTGACTGGAGTTCTCCTGAGCCTCCCATTACTCTCAGAGTGGGGAGTAATGGGGGAAAATGTTCACTCAATGCACTCTCTGTGCCCCCAGCCCCTCATCCTCCTAGGTCCAGTATTAGCTGGTTGGATTTCGCAACTAATTGTTTTTTTTCTGTCTTCTCTCCTGACTCCTCTTCTCTCCCTTTGAATTCCATGTGCTTGAAGTTCTGGGGCCAGGCCCTGGGTGGGTCCCACTAGCTGCTCCCTCTGTTCCCATATCCTCTCTCCAGCTTTGCTGTTTCTCTGCTACCTAATCTCAGTGACTGTGAAGGACTTTGTGTCTGAGCCATGGCCAGCACCCAGCTGGCCCCCTGCCCACACCCTCTCTACTGTTCGGATGGCGCTCTCCCTGCTGGGTGACTGACTGTGGAATCTCAGTACTGTTGGGTTTCTGGTGTGAGGCTGTGATAGGTTCTGGTTCGCTGCCACCTCCCTAGATACATTGAGACTGATGGCACCAGGCCAATTCTGGCAGAGGCCAGGCCTGTTCAGGCCCTGTCTGCTGGCCCCCAAATTACCCCTGGACATCCTCTTTCAAATATTTGGTGCAAGCTCTTTGTGCTCAGGGGTCAGTCCCTTCCTTCTGGTGTGTTTTTCTTGAGTCCTTTTACTTACTTCCCTTGCCCCATTCACAACAAGAAATGCCCCCTAAAGCTTCATTTTTCTTGCTTTCTAGGGGCATCTGTAGTGCAGGGGTCAACCTGGAGATGTTCTCCATGGGTCTAACAACCAGGAGGTGTACTGACTCCTGAGGCCAATGCCAGCAGTACCGTTCACAGAAAAGAACCCTGCGCTCAGAATCCAGACTGCCTGCCCCTGACATATGAGCAAACAAGGCACGTCCTCATCTGGGCCTCTGACTGCTCATCTCTTCTGGAAAGGGGTTGGACTAGACCTTCTCCAAAGACAGTTCCGACTGGACGCCCTGGTTCTGAGTCCCTATGCTTCTGTGGGAGAGAGCAGGCTGGCAGTTAGAGCCTGGAGGAAAGGAAGTGGCACCTCACTAGCATTTATCACGTTTTTCCCCCCCTTCTCTTTTTAAAAATAAAACCAGACTCTGTTCTGAAAATAAAAAACTTGAGACTTGTGACAAGCTTCCTGTGTGGTTTGAGATCTTTCCTGTCCTGGTTTCCTTACTAAATTCTTAAATGTGGCTGTGGCATTTGTCATCATTTTACAGGTTTGCATTAACAGTATGGGTACACCTTGGCTATTTCCTTCTAGGCAGTCAGCATGCTGGTGAGAGACACAGTGTGGCTTTGGCCTTGACCTGGTGGGCGTCTGCACAGGCTTTCTGTAGGCAGGGCTAACTCAGATGGGCGCTCAGCCTGAGCATGGTTTCCTCAGCCGCCCAGGGCTTTCACTCCCATTTCCTTCTAAGGATAACTAACTTACCAAAGGGGGAAAGACTGAGAAACTGATTTTTATTTATTTATTTTATAATTTTATTTATTTATTTTCGCCCCCAAAGCCCCAGTAGATAGTTGTATGTCATAGCTGCACATCCTTCTAGTTGCTGTATGTGGGACGCGGCCTCAGCATGGCCGGAGAAGCGGTGCATCGGTGCGCGCCTGGGATCTGAACCCAGGCCGCCAGCAGTGGAGCGCGCACACTCAACCGCTAAGCCACGGGGCTGGCTCAGAAACTGATTTTTAAATATTACTCTGCCCTCCTCTATTACTCTCGCCCCAGCCTGCATGAATTCTTATGTATGAATGGAAGAACAAGCGCATGGTTTTCTGTTTGTTTTTGTTTTTTTAACACAAAGGGGACTATGAAGTCTAGGACAGAATATTCGGGCTGCACACACAAAATTATTGTATATATGTTTTTAGCACAGAGACAGCCAGTACTATTCAAGCCACTCTGGGCTGTTGCCTGACAATGCTTCTGGCCATTCCAAAGGTCACATGGTGGTTTGACCCACTAGGGCGAGAGGGACAGAACCCGAACATGGGAAGAGCTTGCTCTGCCTCCTTCTAGCTGTGGCTGTGAGCATTCGCCGGGCCTCCTGGAATGTGGTCATTACTTATACCTACCTCACAAGGCTGTGAGAATTAAATAAGGTGACTTATGCAAAAAGGGTCCTTTTCCGCAAGACATTTATGATCATAATGGGGGACAAAATTTACATGTAAAATAATTACAGAACAACATAAGACCACATCTTCATTTCTTCCTAAATCTAGATGTAAAAGAAGATGATTAATCTGACTAAGCATGCTGTAACTATTTACGCATTTCTCACAGTGAAGCAGCGAGCTCTCGCCGATTTGGGTCAGCTGGAGCACAGGTGAAGAAGAGCAGGAGCCAGTTCTTCAGGAAAGGGCAGTGCGGGACCAGCCTGGGGCCCTGCCTGAGGGTTGAGTCTGACCCTGCAGTTCTGGCCCAAGGGAAGGACACAGAAACACGTCCTGTGCTTGGCTGTGTCAGGCCCTTGGTGCATGCTAGCTCGTTTCATCCTCACAGCCACCTCCAAGGGAGGTTTGTCTCCACTGCCTGAGGTCCAGAAGAGGGAGTGGCTTGCTGAATGCCACACTACAGTCAGGAAGGGAATCCACATTTGAACCTAGGTCTGACTGCCTCCAAAGGCAGTCACTACCCCAGGCAGCCTTCAGACTTTAGCTGTTAACTGGGTTCAACTTCCCCTTCATTAACACCGTACAGCTCTGGCTAAGACGCAGGAGCTGATGTTCATATTCTGTGTGAGTCCAATGGAAGAGGCATGGAGCAAAAGCCAGCAGGCAGGACACCCATGTCAGGGTGCAGGCAAAAGTAGGGGTCTGGCCAATCGTGCCTCACCCTCTCCTTTCTGCTCCCTCTCCTCAGGTCAGTTGTATCTTCTTCCTCTATAATCAGAAAGGAAGGATGTAGAAATTCATACTAAGGTGTTAATAACCTAAGGGGCGACTCCTTCTAGGAAAGGAATCCAGGTACCAGGGTGGGAGGAGGCATGTTGGACAAGACTTCTTGGCATCCTTCAGATCATGAGAGAGGGTATTGCGTGTTCCTCTTACAGGCAAGGCTGGCTCAACAGGGTGCCCCGCCTGCCTTAACCAACCTAAATGGACAGGACGAGAGTGTGGCCCCAGTGCCAAGATCTGGGAGAGGCAGCAGGGCATGAAGAGCTGGAGAGAGACCAAAAGAAAGGAGATGGACCTGGAAGCCATTTAGGAGTGATGTAGGAGGCCATGGGTGGGAAGCAGACATGTGGCAAGGGCCCCATTCTGGCAAAAAAGCAGTGGGGCACCCCAGCTTCACAGCCTATCCCCATGGGTTGGGAGGCAGTTGCTTCATTTTATATTCTTCCACAATATATAATCTATAGCATCTATATTGTTTCCACTTTCCCACAATGAGCATATTCACTCAGCCAACACACTTGCTGAGCTCTTAATATGTGCCAAGTACTGGATCACACATATCATCTGAGAAAGCGAACGCTCGAGGAAGAAAGTAATAATGACAGGAAAAGAGGCTAGGTGAACAGTGCCCCGGGGTCATCAGCTGCTCCAACACAGAATCAGGGCAGAGATCTTCTCCTTGTTAAGAGGCAAAGAGACCTAAGGAAACCTCCGGACTCCTGGCAAAGGCAGCAGTGTGGCAGTGTGGCAACACCCGGACCGAATGACGGCTGTCACGTATTGAGTGCTTCCCCGGTGCGGGTCACCACCTGAGGGCTCACGTGTATGTTTCATCCACTCCTCACAAAACCCCTATGAAGTAGGAACTCCTGCTGCACCCATTTTAGAGACGAGCAACCTGAGACCCAAGGAAGATAACTTAAGTCACTCAGCAGGCACGCAGCAGAGCTAGGGTTCCAGCCCTGTGTTAACTGTCTCCAGCCTCTTTTGAAGGAAGCTCTCTCTGTAACACACCTGACCTGAGACCCAAGGCTGTGGCTAGAATACCAGCTCTGCATTTCACTCTGAGCACAAGCGGACCTGGGCCCTTACTTTCTTGCCCAGCCTGGAGCAGAACAAGGCCTGGCACTCCCCTCTTTATTTGGGAAGGGAGAACCTCGAGTGCAGAGGCTAAAGGCCATAGGATTGAAAGCGCCCACCGCACTGTAAGGACCCTTCTCCTTAGGCCCTATTTAACAGTCAAAGATAAACAGGAAATAAGTAAAATCCATCATACCCTGGCCTTCAGAAATCCCAGCTCAAACTGCTGAGTGGATGTTTAAGTGACTGAATAAAACTCACTCAAAACCTAAACACCTCTGAGGACCTTCCTAAGCAGGAAAGAGAAACTGGTTTAGAATCAAAGTTGTCAGCAGCACTGCCTCAAGCCACATCCAGATCACCATCTCATCATTCTCCTTTTTGTCTCCCTGGGACCAAGACAGCAGGCACGAAAAAGTCATGCCATCTACACAGGGGCCAGAGGCCGGCACGGTGGAAGCGTGCAGGTCTGCGCTGGGCACCAGTCACAGGCAGCCGCTCCACCACAGGCTTTGGTCACACACTGCCCACCTCAAGCCACCTCTGCTCCACTCTACTTAGGAGAAGGGCCCAAGAGGCGGCAATGTCACGGCTTGGAGGACGTCCATTCTTGGAGGGCTCTTCTGGGTGAGGCTGGATTTTATCAGCCATGGTTCAGAGTCACACGGAAAGAAAGGCATGGCTCATTTATACATGCTCTTGAAGCTCTTGGCATCTGGCTGAGCAGACGCCACACTCAGGCTGACAGAATCTCCAGATGGTGAGCTTAGACCAGTGTGTGACTGCAGGCTCCAGGGAAGGGGGTGGGGGAGAATGTGGGAGGAACAAGAGAACAACAGGAGAGAAAGGGTCAAGAAGCCTTGGAGAACTTGATGGCTCCATTTATATATGACATGTCCACGACAGGCAAATCCATAGAAGGAAAGTAGATTAGTGGCTGCCTAGGGACAGGGAGGTGAGGAGGGCTGGGGGTGATGATTAAGGGGTGCTGGGTTTCTTTTTGGGGTAAGAAAAATGTTCTCAAATTGATTATGCTCATGGTTGCTGAACTCTGAACCCCTAAAAGCCACTGAACTGCACAGGGTCAACTGTGAATTGTATGGTATGTGAATCCTCTCAGTAAACTGTTAGGAAGAAAGGCAGCAGCCCTGGAGATAAAGGGGACATAGCGGACAATGCCAATCGAGGATATTTGGCCTCAAAGGCCAGCAAAGCCAGAACTCAAGGTGCGTGAGGAATGCAATCCAAATGGAAAGTGTGCTTCTGGGCACCAGGACCTCACTGGTGGGGGCCACTCTGCTGCCAGGTAGAGCCCTGGCTCCAGCAAGGGAAGAAACCATCACAGTATTCCACACTCTGAACATCCAACAAGTGCTTATTGGAAGCTGGGGAAACGTCACAGGAAGCTGGGTAGGCATCTGGACCCAATGACACCCACCTCCAGCGTTACTGGAGAAGAGAGATGGAGCCCGAGAGGCTGGTGGCTGGAAGGGCTCAGTTCTTTTCTCTGTCTTAGTCTGTTCCGGCTGCTATAACAGAACATCATAGACCGGGCAGCTTATAAACAATAGAAATTTATTTCTCACAGTTCTGGAGGCTGGGAAGTCTGAGACCAAGGCGCTGGCAGATTTGGTGTCTGGTGAGGGTCTGCTTCCTGGTTCACAGACACCATTTCACTGTCTCTTCACATGGCAGAAGGGCCGAGGGAGCTCCCTTTCTAAGGGCACTAATCCCACTCATGAGGCTCCACCATCAGGATCTAATCATCTCCCAAAGGCTCCACCTCCAATACCATCACACTGGGGATTACGTGTCAACTTAAGAATTTGTGGGGGACACAGACATCCAGTTTATAGCCACGTACTGTCTGGGACCAAGGCCTTGACAGCCCTGCTGCTACTGGGAAAAATCTCAAGAAAGAAAGAACTGCACAACTAGGAACTTCTTGACGTATGGTAACACGTGACTCAAAGTAACTACGAGGAATTCTTAGCAGAGTTAACAAATTTATTCATTCTTTTATTGATAATCTCTCTTTTATGTATACATATACATGCGTGTATGCGTGCACACACACGTACACCCGTGATATTTGGTTTCCTCACTTTTCAGAATCCTCTCCTACTCGCTGAAGCTTGGGGCTGCAGTGAAGGACTCAAGTATAGGCAAATGGAGGACATTCAATTGCAGAGGAGGACGGCGTCCCAGTGCACTCTTCGGGACACCCAGATAGACAGAAACCTTCAGTCTCTCCCAAGGAGGCACTTTGGGGACAACTTCTTCAAACACTGGGCCTTAGCATCTCTCCTCCAATGTCTCTGGACCTCAGACTCTAAGTACAGAATGACACACTTTCCTCTCCTATCGAAGGCCTGCCAGATTCTCATGCTCTCCCACTCCCACCTGCCACCCACCTCCCGCCCTGCTGTGGGTCCTCCACATCTCATACTCAATTCACTGTCATTGGACCACAGCTGGAGGGGAGGGCTCTCAGCTCCCAGTGCTTCCCGAGCTCAGGGGCCCACAGCCCAGGGGCTCAGCCAGGCAGCCCGAGGAGCTCCGCCATAGCTCTCCCAGTGACGGACTGCCCAAACGTGAGCTCCGGGTTTCCAAGTTTCCTCCTTGCTGGATGCTGTTAGGTTTCCCATCACACATTTCTATCCCGTCTCTTTCCAAAAATGATCTGAGGTGGCTTCTGGGTATGTTTGGCCCAGCCTTCTCCTCTGCAGGGCAACAGCTCATCATATTAAAGGAGTCCCAGGCCTTTGGGCTGATGTCTCCACTCCCAGCCTGGCCCACAAGGCCTTCCCCATTGGGGCTCTGACTCGTCTCCACCACACCTCCCTCCTTCTACTCCAGGATCAACTTGCAGGGCCCTGAGGGGCCCTGTTGCCACTCACCTGCCAGCCCTCACCAGATGTGCTCCGTGTCCTGGGACTGCCGCCTTCTCCAGCACAATCTCTTGGCCCAGGAAACTAGCTTCTCCTTCAGCTCACACATCACCTCCTCCAGGAATTTCTCCCTGGGCCAAGGGCCCCTTCTGGGTATTTTCATAGCCCTGGGCAGGCCTCCATTCAGCCTTTACATCTTGCATGACCAATCTCTGTTTACTGCCCCTTTCACTAGAGATGAAGCTCCTTGGTGGCCAGGGCCATGTTGGGTGCAATTTATCCTTGTTATCTCATATGCCCGGCATGTAGTACGTGCAAAATAAAGCTGAATGAATGAACGAATAAATGATGGAGACTTAGGGACACTCTGCCATTAGCTCCTGGGAATGGGCTCTGGATCCTTGTGGGGATGGAAGATGACCAGACGGTCACAGAAAGAAAAGTTAAAGGGATACCCTGGGATCAGAATCAAGATGTCTACATTTGAAAGGTATACATTTCACACATGAACATACATACATCTACAGACACACGTGTGCACCTGTGAACACACACATCCTTCTTTCAGCACTCTGGGTTTGGGGGACCCCTACGAGGCCGGCCTTTCCGGCTCCACACTGTCCCAGCCAGAGTTCTTCTGAAGCTCTTGGAAGAAAAGCTGTTGCTGGAGGCTTCTCAGGCTCTGCAGGTCCTCAGGAGAGAGGTGCTCGGCCGACTTCCCCAGGCCCTGCTCTTCCTCGTCCTCCATTTCCGTAAGTCCATCAGGGGGCTGCGGGGAGCTCCTGGAGATGTAGCCCTGGTCAGATTGCACCGACTGCCGCTGCTCCTCCTCGTAGGGCGTGTGTGGGTCTTTGTGGGCCACAGCCGGTCTCTCCCACCCACCCTGGGCCTGGCAGCTCAGACTCTGCTGGAAGAGGGAGAACATTAAGTCTTCAAGCTCCTCCCTTACATCCTCCGGGAGGTGGTCGGGTGATGCCGTTGGGGTGCTGCAGAGAGGGGGGTCCTCTGAGTCCACAGGGAGGAAGAGGACACTGTTCCGCTGAGGGCCACAGCCCTCCAGCAGCGGGCAGGCCTCATCGCCCTCCACCACGGCCAACCGGCTGGCTGCGCTGCTTCCAACAGCTCTGGGGACAGGTTCCACTGCCTGAGCTGGAGGGAGCTTCTCTACTGGGACCACTGCAGTTTGGAGCGTCTGGGCTGCCAGCTCCCCCTGGGGCTGAAGCTGAGGTTCCAGCCTTGACAGTCCTCTTCCTTCCTCGCCGACCAGCAGATCTACCACCAGGCAGCCCTCGGAGGCAGGTTCCCGCACCAGGGGCTTCTGCTTGACAATTCCTCCTCCCAGAGGCAGCAGTGGCTCTTCAAACACCTCTTCGTCCAGGGATGGGAGGTCCTGGTCATCTGCCAGGCAAAGGTTCTCACGATCAAACCAGTCAGGCCGCTGAGCCTGCCACTCCCGGAACCTCTCCACGGCTTCCTTGAGCTGCCAGCCGCTGGGGCTCTGCAGGTAGTTTTCACCTGTGAGCACCCCAACGCGGTGCATCCGGCCAGGTTCAAACATCTCCAGGTCCTGGATCCGGAAGTACACCTCCTCAAATCTGTCCATGAGTGCGTACCTGGGAGTGATGCTGAAGAGGTCGGGGATGTCACTCTCACTGCTGATGTCACTGAAGTAGCAGACGACGTAGGTGCCAAAGCTGGCTGGCTTCTTGAAGTCTGGTAGGATCATATTCATGGCCGCTGTGAAAAGGTCCCCAGCGGGCTTCCAGCGGTCACACCGAAGCTGGATGGTGGGTTCCTCCCAGCCGAGGATGGCCTGCCACTTGGCCTGCGTGCCTCGGGAGCACAGGATGATGATCTTGGAGTTGCTCTCTACCATTTCCTGCTTCTGGCGGCCCACCCAGGTCATGACCCCCACCTCTGAGATGACCTGTTCCTCCAGCAGGTCGAGGGCCACTTCGGTGCCGCAGACAGTGAGCAGGAACTGGGCGAACTTTAGGACCACGTCCACATAGAGGGGGTGGTCGGCAGAGTAGACAATCCAGACCTTCCTGGGCTTCAGTGGGGGGGGCGTCAGGCCAGCAGCAGGCAGGATAGCTGAGGGAAACAAGGGGAGCCAAGCCCGCAGGCTCAGGTATGGGTCTGCGCGGAGCCTCACACCACAGCCCGAGGGCAGAGACCCCTGCTGGCCGCCAAGAGGGATCTGGGCCAGGCAGAGCTTGGCTCCCTCACCCAAGAAATGCAATGGGGCCTTCGAAGAAGCCAAATGTTGCTGTTTCGCCCATTTTGCTGCTGAAAAAAGAGTCTGGTGCCTTCAGGAAAAAGAATCTCTCTCCCTCACCTTCTTATCTGGCCTTTGGCCTTTAATTATCCTAATTAAAAAAGAAAAAAAGGCAAAAAAGCCTGCCTACAGAATAGCAATCTCTGTTATAGGGAGGACTTCTTTTCACAAAATATGGTACCTTTACCTTCCTTTCCTGGTCTAAGTGATTAAAAAAAATGTTATCCCAGCCTTGCCATTTGAGGTCCCCTCTGTTTGGGGTGCTAGACGGTGGGTCCTCTGAAGGCGAGGCCTCCTGAAGGGACTCAGGGTTATGTGCAGAAGGCGACCCAACCACAGAGCTCAGGAGACTCCACCCCGGACTTAAGAATACAAACACCAAACCCAGCCCAGCCAAACCAGGAAACACTGACCTGTGTTTTTGGTGTCATTACTGTATTTTTCATGACGAGACCCTGAAAGGAAAGAAATACATCAGAGTGGCTCTTTTGCAAGAGAAAAAGGGACTGGCTGACACAGGCATCTGATGGGAGCACTGCCCCACTGATATTAAAGGGTGAAGGACAGGGAGGGCTGCCCAAGGCAGTGGCTCGCAGACGCCTCTGGCCTCTGCAGGGAGACCCTACTGTGGAGTTACGCCGGTGTGGATCCCAGGTCTGCCACTGTGAGCTGTGTGATCTGGGAAAGTTACTAACGCCTCTGAAACTCAGTTTCTTCCTCTGTAAAATGGGTCTTTGTGTGGGGGATTTAACGAGATCATGTGTGCGAAGTGCCCGGTGCATTGTATGTACTCAGTCAGCTGGGGTCACAAGCATTCTGTGGCACTGACCCAGCCAGTTCCACGCTTCCCCCTCATTACAGTCCTGGTTCCTCCCGTCCCTGCAGTTTGGCCACCCGCAAGCTGACTCCCCACTTCAGGCAAAGCCCCTTCCCAGAAGTGACCCTGCAGGAGGCACAAATCTTTTTTTTTTGTGAGGAAGATCAGCCCTGAGCTAACGTCTGTTGCCAATCCTCCTCTTTTTGCTGAGGAAGATTGGCCCTGGGCTAACATCTGTGCCCATCTTCCCCTACTTTATATGGGACACCGCCATAGCATGGCTTAACAAGCAGTGCGTAGGTCTGGGCCCGGGATCCAAACTGAGAACCCCAGGTCACGAAGGCGGAGCGTGCGAACTTAACCACTACGCCACCGGGCTGGCCCCACCTCCTGGTATTTTTAAGGTGAGGAAAGGTAAGCAACTGCTCCCCTCAGAGATGCAAGAGTCAAGTCCTTGGGGATGCGGATGGGAGGAATGGGACGCACAGATGGCTGAGGACGACATGTAGAACCTCAATTTGCATCCCCACCTCCTGGGTCTTTTCCTAGAACTGTCAAAAGACAGTCAAATCACACGTGAGGTGTGTCCTTCCTCTCTTCACCCCGCCATGTGGGGCGCTTCGGGAAAAGGTCAGAGGTGCAGCAGTAGAAACTAAATAAAAAGCCCCGACACCCACAGAGAACTCCACAGTTTCTCGAGCCCTCACAGAGACGTGAGCGGATTTGACTCTCCCAGTAGTCCCCTGGGAAGGGCCCTCCCAACAGGTCTTCTCATGCCTGGTTTGGAGCTATTTCCACTGCACAATAATTAATAATGCTGAATACCTAATCCTGAGGAGCTGGCTACGTGTGGAAATGACCCCCCGGGTCACTGAGGAGACAGCCTAGGGTGGTGGAGGGGCAGGGAAGGCCCCTAACCTGAGGACCCATGTTCTCTCCTGCTTAGGGCCTGGCCACATACGGCTGGAGGGGAGAGGGAACTGCTATTTATTAACATCCACCAACAAGCCCTTCCTCGGCTCTATCATTTGATCCTCACCACAGCCCTGAGAGGGAGGCATTATTATCCCATCTTACAGAGAAGAAAACCAAACCCAAGGTTTGTTAAGCAATTTGCCTATGACTGCAAACCAGTGAGGCAGAGCTGGGATCCACACCCATGGGTTCCGGGTTGGCCCTGAGCCTTCTCTCTCACATCACGCTGTCCCTTGCTACTCTCCTTGACCTCACATGTACAAGTCTACGGGCTGCAGGATGGGGCCACTCAGGCTGCTCCACCTGCCTGGCTGATCATTCCTGATGCAGGGACACTCCACCCCAGCTCCTTCCAACCTGTTGATTTTAACAACAGTAGCTAAATATAATTGTGGCTAACATACATTGAGCAAGTATCAAGTGCAAAATTCATATGCATTATTTCACTTAATCCTTACAATTATTTTATGATGTGAGTATCATTATAATTTCCATTTTACTAGAGAGGAACCTGAGGCTCAGGGAATTAAGTAATTTGTCCAGATGGTAAGTGGTAGAGCTGGTATTTGGGCCCAGGTTCTGAGTTCTTGACAGCCGAGGTGTGGCCTAAGAAAGGTAATATCTGTACTTAGTATGAGACTAAAGGCTGGTATTGAAGGATGCCCTCCGGAGCACAGTCTCGCAGGGAACAGAGGGGGAAGAGGGGACAGGGAGGAGGAGGAGCAGGGGTAAAGCCCCAGGACCAGCCCCCCTACAGCCCCTGCTGCTTACCAGGGAGCCTCCAAGTCATGCAGACGATCAGCAGGATGACGGAAGCCACCAGCAGGATGGCAATGCCCGTGATGAACCCGTACACCCACAGTGGCATATCTGTGGCGAGCAGAACAGTGGGAGTGACGTGGCAGGGGAGGCCTGCTCTGCCACCCTGAGGTCCCCAGGTCCCACAGCCCGGCCATGGGCCATCCTCTCTGGCCCACACCATGGCACGCTGACGGTCTCACCCTCCCCTGGGCTGCGCCTTGGCTCAGCCTTGCCTGCCTGGCTCCATACAAGGCTGAGTCAGGGACTTCTCGTGTGGCCCCTGAGGACCGTTCCGAGGACTCCTGCAGCACTACGGGAAGGCGAACTGGGCTTACCTGGAATCGAGTCTGCAACGAGAACAAGGGAGAGAAGTATTCTTAATTATTAGCAGCAAGTACAGAACCATCACTGACATCCACTGAGGGCCTGCTGATGACCTTGGCCCTACCCCGAGCACTTCAGGTACTGGTTAAACTTAATGAAACTACTGATGTGAAACACCTGAGTTGTTGGTCTAATAAGAGATGCCCAACTCCCACTGGGGGCGCCAGAGCAACCTCTGTCGCTTTTCGATCAGCATCTGGCTGTAGCCGTATGTTAGACTGCGGACGGCTTCTGAAGGAGAAGTCTTCTGAAGGAGAAGCCGGCAGCAGTGCAGGGGAGGGAATGGGCTCAGGTCAGAACCCATGGCCCTGCCACTTCCTCAGTGTGTGATCTTGGACAAGTTATGTACCATCTCTGTGCTCAGTCTCCTCATCTATGAACCTGGGGGAAGGAACCTCCCTTCATGGTACTACGACTCACAATTTGTGAGAATTAAAAATCAACATGTTAAAGCCTTTGTTTAGTATGTGGTACAAAACTTTAACTCGATGATGATAACAATCCCCATTTTTCCACTCACAAATTTGAGGATTAGAAAGGTTAAGTACTTTGCCCAAGGCTACACAGCTAATGAAAGGCAGTCAAGAGTCCAACCCTCTGGTCTCTTTAAAGCCCCAAACTGTAGGCCTGAATAACTCCAAGTTTAATTAAACTCTGCTCCCACCCTTAGGACCACGTCACGGTTCACTCAAGCTGTTGACTGTCATCCACTCTCACGCCCAAGTATGTCCCAGGACAGCCACATGCTTCCTACCTGGAAGATCTGGGCTTTCTGGGCAGGGCACGGTCACGGAGTGTCTGAGGCAGTCGTTCAGACAGCTCCTGAAGAAGGGCTGGATCTGCGGGAGCGGGAAGAGTGGGCTGAGATGCGGGGAGACATGGGACACCCCCCCCCACTCCCACTGAGGCTTTCGTACTACGGGAGAGTAACAGACCCTAGTTGGCTACTCCAGGATCTCCAGCTCATCAGCAAGAGGGGGTCAAAGGACCCCTGCAAGGTGAGGCTGGAGGACGGGGCGGGACAAGGCAGATGAGGCCTTGTCAGGCAGGGAGTCCCAGACAGTAGCGGGCTGGGTCCTTGGAGAGAGCACGGGTCCCGCAGCTGCCCCCCTTCCCTCCCTGGCCCATCTAGCAGAAGCGCCACCTGTGCACACTCTCCCACCTGCACTTGGTGGCGGCAGCACCAATGAGAGTTGGGTAGGGTGAGCGTGACATTGGCCCGCTGGTGGAAATCCTCTGGTGTGGGCTGAGGAGAGAGGAGAGGACGAGTGAGGCTGGTCGGGTAAGAACCTGCTGTGTCCTGCTGAGGAAGCTGTGAGAACATTACCCCTGCTGTCCAGTGAGCCCTTGGCAAGCCACAGGGAGAAGTGCTCTCCAGGTTTTCTCTCCAGGACTCCGAGGCCCCAGGGCAGGGGCTGCTGTGACTCATGGACATATCTGGTGACTGGCATGCCCCTCTTTGCTTTGGCCGCCAGGGATCACGGAGACAACTCTGTGCTCACGTCCAGCAGCAGGGCACACATTTTCTGCACCAACCGCACCCTGGCTCCATCCTATTTCCTCACCTTTATTTCCCCTTCATCTTAATTTCCACATTTTTCAAATCCTCAAATCCTTTTTGGAATAAGTAGAATAAACCAAGCAAAACCAAAAGGCACATGTGTGTGGTGATGGACTGTAATTAGTCTTTGGGTGGTGAACATGATACAACCTATGCAGAAACAGAAGTATAATGATGTACACCTGAAATTTACACAATGTTATAAACCAATGTTACTGCAATAAAAAAAAAAAAAAAGAGAGAACAGGAGAGAATGTGGAGTGGAGAAAGCAAGAAGGCCTGAGTGGGGGGCAGGTAGAGACCAACTCCAGCCCATCAGCTGTAGGATCAGCTGTAGGAGCAAGAGGACCCACTATACATCAGCCACACTGCAAGGAGAGGAGCAGAGCAGCCGCGGGGTCAGGACTGACCAAGCACAGCCCTGAGCACTGAGCTCCCGGCACCGCAGTGCTGTCAGGACGGTCAGGGAGACTGGAGGTGTGGAGAGGGGTCTGAGCTATGCCAGAGGGTTAAGAAGGCTGCATAGAGTCACCTTGGGTATATCCAATACATGATCGAAGCAGCTCTGGTTCTCCGTGTGTGGAAAACTGTTCAGCAGGATCTGGTAATGGGTAGACTCGTTCCACAGGGTGAAGCCCACCCGTAGCCGGTGGGCCTCTGGGGTCTCCACGGTGATGTTGGGATCCCACAGGCTGCCTGCTCAGGGCACAGACGGAGGCTGGGAGTTAGGAGAGGGCATGCGTGCATGCATGTGTGTGAGCACGTGCACACGTGTGCATGTATGTGTGTGTGCGACCAGGCAAAGCCCGCCCCAGCTGCAGTTACCTGAGCTCACGCACGGCGTGGTTATCTTCATCCTGGGGTCCATGCAGTCTGCGGCCCAGAAAAAAGTGCAACCATTAAGCGTCTGCCTTAGAAACTTGGCTTTTCCAGATCCTGACACCAGGGATAACCGTCTTTTCCCTTCTGGGGAGCCTGCTCACAGATGGCCCCTTCAAAGCAAGCTCCAGGACTGGACCGCTGCTGCTGGCCAGAGGTCCCACAGAATTGAAGGCTGACCTGGTTGTCTCATCTCTCCTCTCTCAGGGAACTTTCTAAATTCAAGTGTATTTCTCCTGAGCTTGCTTTGGGTGACCAAGGGTCTTGGTCCAGTCCCTTCTCTCCTCACCACGGCTTCCTCTCCAGGGTTGCCTCTGCCTTTTCACGGGGGGAGTACTTTGTTCTTCCATGGCAGTGTTTCTCAAACTTTGTGTGCATCATCATCAGTAGTTTCTGATTCAGTAGCTTGGGGTGGGTCCTGAGAATCTGCATTTCTAACAAGTTCCCAGGTAATTCGATGATGCCGCTGGTCCGGGAACTACCTTGAGGACCACCTGCTCTACAGTTATCTTCTTGATCCCCCTTCCCCAATTTCCTTGACTCTAATGTTTTCACTTGGGTTTAAGAAGACACATGACAGGTATGAATCACTGTGGAATGACAGGGACTGAGTCAGTCTACTTTAGGAACAGGGGAGGGAACTGGGGAGATTTGCTTACACAACAAATACTTATATAGCACCTACTATGTGCCAGGCACTGTTTGAGAAACTGGAGATCCAGTGCTGAATAAGACACAGTCCCTGCCCTCCAGAGATTACATTCCAGTAGAAAAGACCAAGAACAAACAGCATAACAATGTCATAATTATATCATGACAGTACAATGTCAGGAAGTGATGAGGAACATGAAGGAAAATACAGCAGGGTGAGCAGACGGTGTGGGTGCATGTGCACGGATGCACATGTATAGGGGCTGGTCCAGGGATGAAGAAGGCCATCATCATCCTTAACAAGCACTTCCTCGTCACCACAGGCAAGGCAACGTGTGAGGTTCTGGAGACTGCATGAACAGCTATGAGACCCAGACCCTGCCCTCAATGGGGCTGGGGTTCCAGATGTGGTTGGCTTTGAACAATGAGAAATATTGTAGGTTGTGGCTGAGACTCTCGGAAGGACAGAGAAACAGAAGGTGCACACACACAAAAAATGTTTTAGAAGGTAAACCTGGCAGTACTCACAGGCAGGATGGATTAGCGGGGGAAGAGGAGATGGCATCATACATGGGATGGTGTTAGATAAATGCAGGTAGGATGTGGTGTAAAGAGTGAAGAACAAGGTGATGGAAGCTGGAACTAGACTGGGAGCAGGGTTACAACTCTTCCGAGAGTGGCTTGTCTTCCTGGTACTTTCTGGGCAGATAGAGGGAGGGATTCCAGCTGCCATAAACCACTGGGGTCTTAGACCAACATCCACTCTCGGTGCCAACAGAGAACAGGCTGCGCCCTTAGGGAACAGATGCTGCAGCCACACACCATAGAGCTCCCCGTCCCTGGCGTCTGTTTGCTCTGTGGGTACCATGCACAAGGGCAGCCACCGTCCAGCTGAGCAGGGGCAGATGTCTGAGCCACCTGCTGGTTTCTCCTGCAGAGCCAAGTGGTGGAGGCAGAGGCTTGGGAGGGTGCTCTTACCAGGCACAAGGAAGTTCCTGGACTGGTGGTTTGGGTCCCCGTCAGGGATGGGCTTGGGCAGGTGATGAACAGTCACCTCATACTCCTGGCCAGGTTCCACCACAAAGTGACTGAAGGTAAAACGCCACTGAAGAGAAGGAGGAAGGGGAGGTTGGACAGGCCACACACACTTCTCACCCATCTGTGTCCCCCAATCCCACCCCCACCTGCCCCGAAAGATCAGTCAAAATTAAGAAGAAAACAACAATCACAAGAGCCAAAATCAGAGGCATCTGTAACTTTGTTTCCTCTGGTCTTTCCTGTCTATTTAAAAAAACCCAGGCCTGGCCTCCGCAGTAGATAGCAGTGTCATATGCAAAAGAATCTGGGGAAAGCTGAAATAGTCCTCCTCCCCCACCAGTCCCCTCAAACCCCAGAACGGTGGTGTGAGAGAGCCGGGCCAGAGCACTGGGGGCTATTGGGAGAGCTGGCATGCAAGATGCAGCTAAGAACTATTTGTTAAATGACTTCCTCCTTAAGTGGGAAAGCCAGGGATCTCTTGAGAATGTTCTGGAGCACAAAAGTGCAAAGGGAGGGCTACAGACAGCTCCACTCATCCTTGTGCAGATGTATTCTGGATGGTGCAGATTACAGATACTGACTTTGCTGCTGTTTTTTTTTTTTTTTTTTTTGGCTGAGGAAGATTGGCCCTGAGCTAACATCTGTGCCCATCTTTCTCTACTTTGTCTACGGGACGCCACCATAGCATGGCTTGATGGTGGTGCATAGGTCTGTGCCCAGGATCTGAACCTGCAAACCCCAGGCCACCGAAGTGGAGCGTGCGCACTTAACCACTATGCCACCAGGCCGGCCCCCTGACCTTGCTTCTAAGTAGACCTAGGCGACTGGTCCTCACCATCCACCTAGCAGTCAGGTTTGTGGGTCTGGATTAAACATGGGAGAGGGGATCTCTCTTCGCTGCTGTGTTTGTGGGAGATCTGCAAATGGCCACTTTTTGCTGATTTAAACTAGCAGTTTGCAAACGAGTTTGCATCAGAATCACTTGGTGGGCTTGTTAAACACCCTCAGAGTTTCTGATTCAGGAAGTCTGGGGTGGGGCCCCAGAATCTGCATTTCTAACAAGTTCCCAGGGGATGCTGGTGCTGCTGGTCCTGGGACTACACTTTGAGAACCACTGCTTTAAACAAACTACAGGAGAATCAACATTTTACCATCTGGCTGTGGGCAACAAGATGAGCTGAAACTGCTGCGGAACTCACTCGATGTGCCCCACCCACAGACGTTCTCGGGTCTGTACAACGTTTTTCCTTACTGGAGGCAGGCCCCAGATTAATCTCAGTTTCGGATAAAGGTGGAGGGAGGGCTGTGGAAGTTGTCTTCCCATTCAACTTCCTTTACAATGAATAGGTAGGTAAGGTTGGAAGGAGCAGGGGGAGGCGTGTCTGGGAAGATTTCAAAACATGCCCTGCTCCTATCATCAGATGAACACAACCTGCTCTGGAGCTGGATTCTTACCCGCTTGTGATGATGCCTCAGTGTGGACAGAAATTCAAACTTGACACACAAACGTTCATTGGTGTTCAGCTGCAGGATAGATAACTCTGCACCCTCCAGGTAAAGGATGCTAGCTGAAGGTCAGAGGGAGGAGAGGAGATAAACAGATGCAGATCAAGGAAGACAAACTGCTGGGTGTGCCACTTCCCTGTCTGTTATGCTTGCTCACTCTTAAAAGAAAATCTGTCCATCTTACTCAACCCTCCACTTCCTGTTCCTTCCAGCTCACTCTTGGGCCTGAGTACCTACTGCCTTGCAGACACCTCCCAGCTGGACAAGGACCACTGATACTTGACACTGGGTAAAGGCAAACGCTTTGCAAGTTTGAGGCCAGGGCCTCAGCAGCATGGCGTGTCAAACACAGCCATGCCCATCCTTGGATGGTGGTCACAATCAGTAGGAGCTGGGGACTTACAGAGAACTCCCCCAGGCCCTGTTCACATGTCTGGGGCGCACTCTCATTAACCCAAATCTTCCTAATTCTGCAATACGACTCTCTATCCCCAAGAAGCTTCAGGAAGGGTGTTTTAAGAAGTGCCAGCCCTTAAATTAAGGGGAAAAGCAGGCTGGCAAATGTGTTACCATTTTTCCAGTAAATATTTGGTACTGAAGTCAGAGAATTAACCACTTGACTTTTTTTTTTCCCCAGGGTGATAAAGATTTTAGGCTGAAGGGAGGCCTTTCATGAAGGATGGTGGGATAAGATATCATCGTGGGTTAACGTCTAAAACACTGAAAAAGTATTCACTGCATGAAATGATGGCTCCTTTCAGCACTAAACTTGGGCCCTCATGTCTGAGCACAGGACTAGGAGCCCAATTCTGAGTCTGATGGGAGAGCTGAGTGTCTAGTCTATGGATTCACCTGGCAGACTCTTCTAGGGCCCCGTTGACATGCCCACTCACCGTCTGTCTGCAGTGTCCATTCAATGTGAATCACAGGGACTAGGTCTCCTTGCTGGGTGTGGGCAAAGTGCAGCTGGATCTGGATGTCTTTTGGGGATGAGGGGGTCAGGTTTGGAGGGTGGATCCAGCTGTCATCCAGGCAGGTGCCTGGGAGCCAGGAAAAGGAGAAATCAGAGACTTGCATGCTTTGCAAGAAGCAGAAGAAACTGCAAGAGACTGAAGCACACAGACAAGATGCCCAGCAGTGGGTAGAGAGAGCCGGAACTTGAACAGTCAGGGGCCTGGGACCCTTGGTGCATTCTCAGTTTCACTGCCCTGCCTCCTCTTGTCTAATGCTCGTCTAGGGTCATTGCAAAGTGCTGAAGTCTAAAGGGCATTTTAGGAGAGAGGACAAAGCACACCACTTGGTTGCGAGATGAGGCAGCGGTTGGAAATGGGAGCACAGGAGGGATGGGGTGACGACAGAATTGCTTTATTTTCATATGCCAGGGGTCCCTAATTAGCACAGACACTTGAAATATGTGCTTCCTTCTCGAATCAAAACAAAATCAACACCATAGCTGTCTCTCTCTTTCCAGTGACAAGCTCTGGCAAATGAAATTGTATTACAGATACACAAGGGCAGCACCCTGGAGGGTACTTTCACAATCCCCATCACAATTCTGTTTCTCACTTCCTGACTTTTGCATAACGAAGAGGCTTGGGAGGAAGCACAGGTGCACGCACTCTAGACTCTCAAGGACCCCTCCCGCTGCAGGCTGTAACCCTCACCCTACACCAGAAGCGGAGCAGCAGCACTTCTGTCAGGGAGCAGCACGAGGTGAGCACCCGATGAACAGAGCAACAAGAGGAACACAAACAGATGACTTACTATTCTTGACTGTGCAGTTCAGCCCCTGTGGGAAAAAGGAAGAGGTCATTACAGTGTGAAAAAACTTGAATTCATAGGCCAGGCTCCAGACGCTCTCCCCGGCTCATTCTCCAGAATGAAATGCAGAGCCCTCCCTTCTCACTTTTGGGGGCACTCTCGGCGCGGGGACCACATTCTCCTCACACAGGAGGAGAGGCAGGTATGGTTGGTGACAAAATGGAACTGGTACTTTCAGAGTAACTGTTATGAGCTGGAAACCTTCCAACTTGAAAAGACACAGAGAGGGTTCCCTTGGGGCACCGGCCTGAAGAGGCCTCTAAATCTCTAGGGGCTTCCAGCCTTTGGTCTGGGTAACAGTGCTGTGAGAGGGGACAAAAACTACAGTCCCTGTCATAGGACCAGTTAGGAAGCTCACTGAGTCCCTACAAACCCCTAGGGAAAGTGTGCCAGACTGTTCCGGGTGATTTATAGATATTATCTCCCTAATCTTCACAGCACACCTACAATGAAGTACCCTTAGCTCCATTTTATAAATGAGGGAACTGAAGTACCAATATTATGTTATATTGCCTCCCAGTCTGGCAACATGTGTTGACTCTCTAACCCAGAGGAGACCCTGAAGGCCAAATGCAGAAGCCCCAGTTACAGACAGGAGGGAAATGGCATCACTGGGCTTAAGTTGGGCCCGCTGACTCTGCTCTGGACACACACACACACACACGCCCTGGAGGTGTCGCCTCACCACCACTCCCAGCTGACCGACTTTAGCTAACATGGCCAAGCCTCCATTTCTTCAATTGTAAAATCAGAATAACCGGAACACCAACTTCATAGCATTGTTGAGAATTAAATGATACAAATGGAAATAAAGATCATGGGCCAGGGGGTGGACTGATAGCGATGGTGGTGTGGCTGTACGGAGCCTTTCACTTTTCACATCTAATATATCTGTATTACAAAAAATTTCAAACAATGGGGATGTATTCATGTTTTACACAATTAAATGAAACAATACAGTGTTCAGCAGGCAGCTCACTAGAAGCCGTAAGAGAACCATGATGAGGAATTTTGCTGGCTGCAGGGCCCAGAGAACCATCGCAATGCCTGCTAAATGAGACAGTATTTGTCCAGTGTCTGGCACATAATGGCAGCTCTTTAATTACTGGCTCCCCTTCTTTAGAGCTTGGCATACAGTAAGCACTCAATAAATGGAAGCTAGTATTATAAGGGGTGACCTCCATACTTTCCGATTTGGCAGTGGAGCAAGGGACGAACTCAGGCTCAGGTGTTTCCAGCTATCTTTTTTTTTTTTTTAAAGATTTATTTATTTATTTTCCCCCCAAAGCCCCAATAGATAGTTGTATGTCATAGTTGCACAGCCTTCTAGTTGCCGTATGTGGGATGCAGCCTCAGCGTGGCTGGAGAAGCGGTGCGCCGGTGTGCGCCCGGGATCCGAACCCGGGCCGCCAGCATCAGAGAGCACGCACTTAACCGCTAAGCCACAGGGCCAGCCCGTTTCCAGCTATCTTAACTGGCAAATGGACCAAACACGTCCTGTGGGGCAGAAAGTCCGATGTTGAAGCAGACCAGAAATACGATTTTAAGGACAATAGAGAGATGTGGTATATGCCTGTAAATAGGGTCTTGGGGTCAGCACCTGACTTTCTAAGAGGGAGCAGAGAGGCAGGACTAAAGATGGGAAGGAGAAGACCCTATGGCACCAGGGGTCATTCACAAAGTGGATGTAGGGACAGTATCCTGGAGCATGCTCAGGACCAAGTCTAAACATGCCACTTCGTCCTTATCCTCCCTTTCTGGGACACCAGTTCATATGCTCTCAGGGTCCAGATTTTCTGTATCCTGTCCAGCTCCTGGTGATTTATTCTCACTTAGGGCCATCACAGCCCTGCTAGGCATTCATCACATGTTCAACACAAAATCTACCTAGCTGCCTCTGCTCACTCTAACGAGCATCACTCTCCTGAATGGTGAGTAGACTATCACTCCTGAACACTCTCATTTCCTCTCCCACTTGAAACACCTAGGCCCGGGGCACAGATAACAGGAAACTGGTTCTTTCACCTTGAGATGGGGAGCTCTTCCAGAAAAGGAAAACAGATACCCATTTTGGGCAACTCCCTAGCATCCACTGGTAGCTACTCAAAAACCACCGCAACACGATGTGCGTGATGAAAGGCTCTTGTCTTCGCGTAGACCAAGAGGAAGTTCGGAGGGTTCGAAAATGCAGTCAGTTGATTAACAATGATGCTGGTGGGTGTCCTCCTCTAATTCCTGTGATTGATGGAACAGCCTGCTATGTCACCATTTAGTACTGTTTTTGGTCTTGGTTTTTGATAGTCATTGTACATAAATGTTTTCCTTCTACTACTATTTTGCTTAAAGATTTTTATTAAAACACTTCTGAACCTTATCAAATACCTCTTTAGCATTTATTTACATTATATAACTTCATAGATTTTTCTCCTTTAATTTACTGATGTAATGAATTATGTTGATAAATTTGCTGATAATGGACCAACTTTGCACTCTTGCAATAAATCCTACTTGGTTATGGTGCATTATTCTAGTGTATTCTGCTAGATTAAATTTGCTAATATTTTATATAGAATTGTTTGTATTTATATTCATAACTGAGGTTGGTCCATAGTTTTCTCTTTTTGTATACATTTATCAAGTTTTAGAATTAAGCTTATGCTAGCTTTAAAAATGGTTAACTCCCTCTTTTTCTGTGGTACTGAATGCCCATCAATAGGGAAAGGCTGAATATTGTGAGATCTAGTTTAAATCTGAAGGTCCATCAAAACAGAAATGGCGAGGGGCCGGCCCCATGGCTTTGCGGTTGAGTGCGCACACTCCGCTGCTAGCGGCCCAGGTTCGGATCCCGGGCGCGCACCAACGCACCGCTTCTCCGGCCATGCTGAGGCCGCATCCCACATACAGCAACTAGAAGGATGTGCAACTATGACATACAACTATCTACTGGGGCTTTGGGGAAAAAAAAAGGAGGAGGATTGGCAATAGATGTTAGCTCAGAGCCAGTCTTCCTCAGCAAAAAGAGGAGGATTAGCATGGATGTTAGCTCAGGGCTGATCTTCCTCACAAAAAAAACCAAAAAACAAAAAAAACCCCTGACAACCCAAGAATAACAATAAAAGTACATTTAGAAATATGGAGGCAAATGCCAGAAGAAACATCTATGAGAATAATAATGTGATGGTCTTTGGGAAACAGTTTTAGGGAGTGGTGGGGGTGGGACAGGGACCTGCTGTTTTTTGTTTTAAACATCTCAGTACCATTTTTAAAGGATCACCATGTTACCTTGATAAGGACTGATTAAAAGATAGAATTTTACCTATGATGTTACTCCAAACAAATGACAGGATTGAAAAGTGAGATAAACAAATGAAAACATTAATTTGTTTAGGGGAAGGAATAGTGGACCTGTTTTCCTTAAAATTTAATTTCTATATAGAATTTACACTAAAGTAATGTTTTTAACAATGTAAAAAATACATTCAGGGTCTTTGGATACTACTAAGCCAGATCGTGTTTTATTTCCCTCCGACAAATCATCGCCGATTTCTTTACTTCAAACGCCCATTTTTTATTTTTTCATTTTTATAATTTTTTCAATTTTCCCCCCCAAGCCCCAGTAGATAGTTGTATGTCATAGCTGCACATCCTTCTAGTTGCTGTATGTGGGACGCGGCCTCAGCATGGCCAGAAAAGCGGTGCGTCGGTGTACACCCGGGTCCGAACCCAGGCCGCCAGCAGCAGAGCGCGCGCACTTAACCACTAAGGCACGAGGCCGGCCCTCAAATGCCCATTTTTTAAAAACAGCAGGATCAGAATATTATTTATGAGCTCCCTGCTTGTGAATGGCAGTATGTTAGGCCTCCTGCCGAAATCTGAGAGGGAGAATGTTCATGACGATGAGGATGACGACGACAGTAGCAGCTAATACTTACTGAGCCCTTCTTTTGTGGCAGGCAGCACATTGAGCACTCCGTCTTTAATACTTTAATATCTCATTTAATCTTTACAACAGTCCTATGAGGTAAGCGCCACTGTCTCATTTCTACTGATGAAAACCTGAGGCACAGGGAGGTCAGCTAAGCAGTCCGTGGTCCCACAGAGCCGACAAAACCCATGCAGTTTTGCTCTGAACCCACGTTCTTAATCACTGCTATACTGTCTCCCTAAATAAAATAGTGAGGCCGAGAGTCTCTGTCCATAGCGGTGAAGATTAAAAGAAATAAAAGACTATATTCAACTCTGTGCTTTCAAAGAACCTCACCAAGTGCCTGGTAAGAAAAAGTGGGCTCTGAAGTCACATACAGAGCCCCACGCTCTCACAGGCTGTGTGGCCTCGGGCCCTCACCCAGCCTCTCTAAGACAGGTTAATCATGCCAGCCTGGCAGGCTGTGTGAGCGCTGACTGAAGTCACACGCCTTAACCCCACACAGGGCCTGCACAAAGCTGCAGGCGATTGTTAGCGCCCTTGCCCCGTTCAACGCCACACACCCCTGGGCCGGCGCCTGCACACTGCTGGCACATTATCTGCTCTCTCCATACCCCGGGAGGTGAGGGTCGCCTCCTCTTACAGACAAGAACACTGGCTCAGGGCGGTGGAGGGCCTGACCCAGGGCTGCAGGGTGGGTGAGGGGGGAAGCTCGACCCAGAGCCCAGGTCTTCTGACTCTCAGTCGAGTGTCCTCTGCCCTGCACTGCCTTGCTGCCTGCTTCTGGTGGCTGATGCTATCTGATGTCACACAGTCTCCAGACAGACGGCTAGCAATGAGCAGTCAGGGCGAGAAGTCGGGAATGTGCCAAGGAGCCTGTTAACTTTGCTGGTTCCTCTGCCAGCAGTGACCCCAGCCCTGACGGGCCGCATGCCTACAGCACACAAGACGTCCACATCACACAACTTTTTACACTCTGGAAGGTGGCATGGCCGAAAGCTTCTGGCAACCAGAAGATAAGGGTGAAACCAAACAGCTGTTCTACAAGTAAAAACCACAAGTGCTCAGGAAAATAAGAATTTGTAACGCCATACACCTCCTGTCTATAAAATTGTGTGTTAACACTCACTGACCAACTCCCAGTGGCTGTCTTTCCTCATTGGCTCTCCTCTGGGCTGGCAGCAGGGGAAGGGCCGACCAGAAGACTGACCAGGGAGATGCAATTATGGTTTCTCCAGCTCAATTTCTGTGGGGAACGCACACTCATCTGGGCTTTGAGGTGCTAAATCTGGGCAGCCGGAAACAGTGCTATGCCTGCTCTCAGTTTATCACTGCTTTCCAAGCAGAGCTAATCATTCATTCATTCCTTTGTTCTTTCAACCCACAAATATTCACGAAGGCTCCGCACCTGTGCTTGCAGCACTGGGCTAGGAACAGAGCAGGCATGTGCAAGGCTCCTCTCTGTCTCAGGAGACAGCCACTGAGAGCTAGAGCCAGCCCAGCTTTGGACAGACATTTATATTCTGGAAAGTGGTACAGCCCACCTTGAGATGGCTCATCTAGCCCTTTCACTGCGGGAATGAGGAAACCCAGGCACTGGCAGCCTGAATTGGCCAAAGTTGAAGGGATTGTAAGGGGTGAAGTCAGGATGCAAATCTAGGTCCTCTGAGGCCAAGTCTGTAGCTTTTCTTCCCTCACTACATCGTGTTGCATCCCCTAAAACACCAGCAGGGGGAGAGAACTCTGAAGGGTGTGGTTTCTTTCTAAAAAGACTAGTCAGTGAAGCAGGGAAGCTGTTGAGTTGCCTGTGAGCCAGGCGTATGCAGAGGCAAGTGGGAGGAAGGAAGAGCAGGGAGACGGTAGACACATCTGGCCAACAGGATCTCTCCCTAGCCCGCTCTGGAATCCTGCCCCTGCCCTGCTCCTGACTTTGAGTAGCTTCCCACTGAACAATTAAAGGCAAATCCTGTTAGCCCACCCTTCATGCATGCCACAATGGAGTCCCTACCTCCCTTTCTAGCTTCTTCTCTTACTTTCCTGCCACACAGACCTCCACTCCAGCCACACACCTTATCTTGCCCAACCAAGGGCCTTGGCTCAGTCCCTTTCCACCACCTGGAATGCTCCACGACCTCTGTTTTCGAGGCGCCCACCACCCCTTGGGGCTGCCCAATATCTTCTCTGTCATGAGGGACACCCAACTGGAAGACATTTTTTTTTTGCCTGGAATTCTGTACACACACTTGTTGTACAAAGAGCACTTGCCACAGGCTGCCTTGCACCACAGTGACCTATCTTCAAGCCTTCTTCCCTCCTGGATGATTTAAGTCCCCGGATGTTAGGGGGCCGGGCACGGTTCTTTATAGTTTCAGTTTCTAGCAACAGTACCTTGTATTTTGCAGGCACCGGGAAAATGGCCATCAAAAAATGAAGCCCGAATCCTAGATGGTAGAATACTTATATGGCAAGTCTGCAGGAAGGATCTGCTGAGCATATGTCCCCTGCTCTTCCCAATAGTGGGAGTCACAAGGTCATTTCCCAACATCATTCACATTAAAAAACAAAAAATTCTGCTAAACAGTCATTCACTCTCCACCCTCTTTTGGTAAATAGTCCATAAAATTAGATAAGGAGAAATATCTCTTTGGTTGTTTCACATCCTCTGACTCAAATACTGAGCATTATTCCTTAGGGTCGGTGGTGGTGGAGGGGAGGGGGATGAGAAAACCAGAGAGAAAGTGGAGGAAAGAGAGGACCGCTTAGATGGGAGAGGCTGTGGAGGCGGGCACAGCGTTTTGCTGTTTCTTTTTTTTTCTTCTTAAGATGGTCCTCCACAACAACGCCACTGCCCGACATGTGGGTGTGTCACTTCCTGTGGGCACAGCGGGGGTACGACTTGACAGATACAGAGCAGCCCTTATCCCAGATGCGGGTGGTGGTGGTGGAACTGGAGGGGTTGGTGTCTTCATCATCTGCCCCATCCCAGGGCTTCGCCCCTCTGGGGAGGTGTCACCGAGCTGTCCCGAGTCTGCGACCGCCCTCGGCCGCCCTCCGCGCAACTGTCCCTGGAAGGCTCCAGGCCACGTCTCACCGCTCAGGCCCCTCGGCCCTGCAGGCCGCCCGGCTCGCGCTCGCGGCTCTACGACCGCAGGGTTCCTCCCGGGGGAGCGGGGCTGAGATCCACTGGGGCCCCCACCTTCCACAGAGCGCCCCCTGACCGTCTGCCGTGCGCCTGCGGCCTCCTTTCAAGGGGAGGCTTCCGGGGTCCGCGTCGGCCTCCCGGACTCGCCGGGGCACGGCGGGGGATCTGCAGGGTGCGCGGCGTGCAGGCCGGTCCCGTCTTGCCTGGTTCCTCCGATGGCCCCTTACCACCCCCTTTCCAACCAGCCCTGTCCCGCCTCTTTGGCCGGGCCCTGCGCCTCGGTCACCTTCCCCAAACTGTGGGGCGACGGCGGAGGTGTCACTCCCGGCTCCCGCCCAGGACGCCAGTTCAGGTTGTGCAACACGCGCAGCGCGATCGTTTTTCCCCGCAAACTCCCTCTCCTCCGGGTCCACCCCGCAACTCCCGCCGCTCCGACTGTCGTCCCCAGTGCCCCCAGCTCTTTGTGCCCAAGCCTGGGACCCCCAGCGCAGACTTCCTGCCTGCCCTGCTCGGGACACCTGAGCCCCGGCCGCCGGCCCCCAGCGCCCCCCGCCCCTGCGGCCGCAACGTCCTCGCGGCGCCAGCGCCTCCGGGACGCGTCGAGGTCTCACCTGCTGGGAGCAGACGGGCGCCGGGTGGTTCAGGAGCCGCGGGGAGGCGCGACCCGGGGCCAGCCCGCTCAGGAGCAGGAGCAGCAGCCCCGGCGGGGGCCCCGGGAAGACGGGCGGCCAGCGGCGCGGAGCACCCATTGCCCCAGCACCTTGGTGGAGGGCTCGCGGCCCGGGCGGGGGGCGCAGCGAGGGCACGCCCGACTTCCCCTCGGCCGAGACGTCCCGCCTTGGTTCGCCCTCGCCCGCTTCCGGCTTC